GATTAATTGGTAGTTGCAGTAAGTACGGAGTACTCCGTACTGCGGTACCACTCAGACCGCTAGTCTTTGACGGAGGTCTGTCTGATGGTTTCAGCTATTGTCACCAGCAAAAACAAGGTCCATGGAGGATACACCGGTACAGTAGCAATGGGTCAATGTGGATGGGGTGGTACCGTAGTACTACTGTACCTACGTAGTAGCACTAGACATGAACCGAATGGAATCTGCCGAAGAAAAATTTGATGCTCCTCACTAAGAAATCTCTAAGCGGGCGAGAACCGCTCCGGAGTCTGACTCACTCACCGCCCACGGGACACTTCGTTTAGCATCCAATCACGATGACAAATCAATCGAGTCCGGTGGCGCTAGACTGATTACGGCATGGCACCGAGCAGGCGCCCCCCGATTAGCGTGTGCGGCGAAGAGCTCAAAAGCCAATTTTTTTCTCCTCCGATTTTTCTCTCTTTTTCTTTTCTTTCTTTTCTTTGGGAAAGGAAGACTTTCTCCATCAACAGAACGTTTCGATCGTCGATCTGTTGATTATCATCTTTGATCTTTGATCACATACTCTCTACAAGTTCTGATAGAAGCTGTAGAGTCTTTCTTTTTTCACATACACCATGACTTTTGCCAACGGTGACATTCCTGGACCGGCCATGAAGGCTGAGATCCAGGACTACACTAAGGCCCTGGAGGTCCTGCAGAAGGAGTACACCACCAGCGATGGTCTGGATATCGATACCCTGCTTGACTCTGACAAGCACGGTGCTTTGACCTACAACGACTTCCTGATCCTGCCCGGGTACATCGGTAAGGCGAGAATCTGGGCTCATCTCGTCGAACTGGGTTGCTGATGCCTCAGAATAGGCTTTCCTGCTTCAGATGTCACTCTCGACACCGCTGTCACTAAGCGTGTCTCTTTGAAGGTCCCCCTTCTCTCTTCCCCCATGGACACCGTCACTGAGCACAACATGGCCATTCACATGGCTCTCCTCGGTGGTCTGGGTGTTATCCACCACAACTGCTCTCCTCAGGACCAGGCCGAGATGGTCCGCAAGGTCAAGAGATACGAGAACGGTTTCATCTTGGACCCCGTTGTCCTCTCCCCTACCGCCACTGTCCGCGAGGCCAAGGAGCTCAAGGCCAAGTGGGGCTTCGGTGGTTTCCCCGTCACTGGTAAGTCATCACTTGATTCCCTGCGTATCCTTTTCAACATGATGATCAATCACTTTTTCTTTATAACTTTCGTTCCACTGGAGCAGCGAGAGCAGCACTGTAGAGACCAGTTTTATCTGACCTCAATTTCAATACTCATTGTCATTATCACCTTTTGTGCAAGTCGTTGATTCTAATATGATGATTGTCTACCACAGAGAACGGAACCCTCCGCTCCAAGCTCGTCGGCATGGTCACTTCTCGTGACATCCAGTTCCACCGCGATCTGGATGCCCCCGTTACTGCCATCATGTCCACCGACCTCGTCACCGCCCCGGCTGGTACCACTCTTGCCGAGGCCAACGAAGTCCTTCGCTCCTCCAAGAAGGGCAAGCTCCCCATCGTCGATACCAACGGCAACATCGTCTCTCTCTTGTCTCGCAGTGACTTGATGAAGAACCTTCACTATCCCCTTGCCTCCAAGCTCCCTCAGTCCAAGCAGCTGATCGCTGCCGCCGCTATTGGTACCCGTGAGGAGGACAAGACCAGACTCAAGCTGCTTGTCGAGGCCGGTCTCGACATTGTCATCCTGGACAGCAGCCAGGGTAACAGCATGTACCAGATTGAGATGATCAAGTGGATCAAGCAGAACATCCCTGAGATTGATGTCATTGGTGGTAACGTTGTTACCCGTGAGCAGGCTGCTGCTCTCATCGCCGCCGGTGTCGATGGCCTGAGAATTGGCATGGGCAGCGGCAGTGCTTGCATCACCCAGGAGGTCATGGCTGTTGGCCGTCCTCAGGCTGCTTCCGTCCGCAGCGTTTCCAACTTCGCCGCTCGCTTCGGTGTCCCCTGTATCGCCGACGGTGGTGTCCAGAACGTTGGCCACATCGTCAAGGGTCTGGCTATGGGTGCCTCCACCGTCATGATGGGCGGTCTCTTGGCTGGTACCACCGAGTCCCCTGGTGAGTACTTCGTCAGCAAGGAGGGTCAGCTTGTCAAGGCCTACCGTGGTATGGGCAGTATCGCCGCCATGGAGGACAAGAAGGCTGGTGCTGGTGCCAAGGACAGCAAGGCCAGCAACGCTGGTACTGCCCGTTACTTCTCCGAGAAGGACTCCGTCCTCGTCGCCCAGGGTGTTGCTGGTTCCGTTCTTGACCGTGGATCGGTCACCAAGTTCGTTCCCTACCTCACCGCTGGTGTCCAGCACTCTCTGCAGGACATTGGTGTCAAGAGCCTGAAGGATCTCCACGATGGTGTTAACCAGGGCAAGGTTCGCTTCGAGATGAGAAGTGCTAGCGCTATGGCCGAGGGCAACGTCCACGGTCTGCACAGCTACGACAAGAAGCTCTACTCTTAAGCGGTGACAGCTTAAGTGTTGCGTTTTTGTCTTATATACCTTTTTATGCCTTTTGATTCTCTTGCATCTAAGAACCGTTTACCCTGTTTATATGATTGGTTACATGATGCTACGTGGTTGCTACGAAAAATAAAAAGCTTGGGCACGAGGGACTGGAGTTCGACGAGGAATAGTTCAGATCTTGCTTTATGATAATTCAATACATTTTCAAGAATTGGTTCTCTTCACTAGACTGCGAATTGTTCTTGCCTTCATTGTGGCCGTAAATCCAGAAGGTAAGAAGTATCTGTAGTTCTTTGGACAGCCCTACGAGTGCTGCAATCTATACCTCGTAGGTAGCCTCGGCCCCTACGATAAGCCCGAACGCGGGGTAGACCGCTTTCAAGTGGATGATGGTTCGTGGCTGCCAGGGGGCAGTACTCCGTACTAGGTAGATTAAGTACCTTTCGTTCGGCCCAACCAACCCTCCGCTGGAAAGTCCCTGCAACGTGTCTGCACAAAGTAGTACTAACTATAGCATAGCCATGACCTCAATCCCGCTGGTAGTTCCCAGCTGTACTCCCCGGTTAATATACTCGACTTCCCCTCCCCGCGTCGCAGTCGCCCGAGGTCCCCGGCTTCCAGCTTCTGGAAAGTATACCCCCCGGCCATTCACATGCTCCAATGACTATACGCCGCAAACCACATGGAGAGCAAGCTCCAATGTCCCACGATCCCAGCAGGCTGCTGCTACCCAAACAATGTCATCTTCAGCATCCAAACAGAGACCCAGCCCTGCTCTTCCGCGGCCCAGTTCTAGGTAAGCACGACGAATTCACAGACGTCTCTATTTTCAATGTATTGTTGTTCCCCCACCGCTAATCCCCGTGCAGCGTCATCCTGGTATCACCCAAGAACGAGATCCTCCTGCTTCACCGTGTCAAAACCTCGACCTCGTTTGCTTCTGCCCATGTATTCCCGGGAGGCAACCTCTCGGCTCAAGATGGCCAATGCCCACCCGCTGAGGATCTAAAGCGCCACGATGATGGCCCGTGGTACCGCAACGCAGCCATCCGAGAGCTCTTCGAGGAGAGCGGCATTCTCCTCGCCAAGGGTAAAGTTTCCGGCAAGATGCTCGCCGTCCCGGAAGAACAACGCGAACCGGGTCGACGCGCGATCCATCAAAACCAGACCACTTTCTTAGAGTGGCTGAAGCAGCAGAGTCCCAATGCGGTGCCGGATACAGGTAAGACACACGCCCATCTTGCACTTGACTACACTCGACGGGGAAAAAGTTCAACTCAACCCCAGTGGAACTTGTCTTCGCTAACTTGACCCTCAATAGATGGACTGATCCCATTTACTCGATGGATCACCCCAACAACCAATTCCCGGCGATATACGACGCAGATGTACCTCTACTTCCTTCCACTTCCCGCGGAGGCTGAGAAGCCGGTCCTCGACGAAATCCCATCCGAGGGACAGCGGGAGGAAATCCAAGTTCCGACGAGCGACGGAGGAGTGGAGGTCACAGAGGCTCGATTCTTGCCTGCCTCGGAGTGGCTGCAGATGGCGCAAAGGGGCGACATTATACTCTTTCCGCCGCAGTTCCTCCTGCTGCATCTGGTGGCTGGCTTCTTGGACAAGGAGCCCCGCGTCGCCGCTTCGCTGCAGGAGCTGCACAGACGGCGGGCGGAACTTACTGAGTTTGTGAGCACCGGTCAGCCGCCGTGGTCGGAGAAGTGTATCTCCCCGAAGATGCTGAGGATGTCCTCTGACGGACGCACGGTGCTGGCGTTGGATCAGCCGGGCCCCGAACTTAGGGGGACGGATAAGCAAGGGGAGACGGAGCGGGTCGTGCTTGTGAGGTTCAAGCGAGGGGAGGCGCGCGAGTTGGAGGTGCGGTGGAAGCAGGATGCTTTCGAAGCCGAAGCGAAGAGTAACTTATGAGGGCATGGATGCATACAAGCGAGACCTGATTTGACGGGGCTCACGACAACTTCCTAGATGGGCCTGTAACATGATCTTCCAACACTGCTTTTAGAACATGGCCAGCGCTTTTTCTACTTATGATATCCCGAGCGAGTCGCTGCTTCACACCCTACCATTTTTGAGACATAAGGGCTTCAAGGGCAGGGCAGCTTCGCCTGGCCGTCCTGCTATGCTTTTAATAATTGGCAGATCTACCCGCTCGCTAAAATGGGTATGCAAATGGCTTCACATGTCAATCGCAAGTACAGCAGTACACCTCAGCACAATGAGTGGCATACTTAGAGTAGTTACTCGTACCTCGCGGCTACCCGCACTAACCCAATCTGGCAAGGGCCAGCCTTACCTAATCAACGCCCAACCTTAGCGGCAAGCCCTCGACAAAGAATCACATGACCCACAACCGGGAAACGCAGAAAGTTGTCCGGGTCACTCATTTCACCCCATCCGCCCACCGTCTCAATTTCCCGCGCACCGCTCCGTTTTTCTCGTCAACCTCAAGTTCCTCACCACCCACCCAACTCGCCAAAATGGAGAACGACAAGGGAGAGATCGTCGATCTGTACGTACCCCTCTTTCCCTCCCTTTTTTTTTTGTGGTTTCCCCAAGGGGATGCGGAGGGGTTTGGACACCATGCATAGCGGAGAACAACCCGACGACAGCAGAGAACATGCGAACGGAGGGGAGGAAGCAGGGAATGAGCGGAGGAAATGATATGCGATATTCGACCTGGTGCGGTGGTTTTCTCCATGCGATGAAAACGACCTAAAAAGATGAATGAGATAAGAGGTGGGATCGAAATTGGACAAAGTGCGCATATCATCTGATATGCGTTCTGAAACGTCTTTATCTGGACCAGGTTGAAGTCGCATATCAAGGTCTCTCTTCTCTGGTCCTGTCGTCTGGGAAAGAAAAAAAACCTCTCCGCTAGCGCCGAGTGTGCCCCAGTCTCCTGCGCAATCACCTTCAGCATCGTCCGCGTCCCGAGGCGGGCAGTTTGCGAAAAATCCACAATTCCCAGAGCACACAACTAACCACATGGTCTCGTGTCTTCCAGCTACGTGCCCCGCAAGTGCAGCGCCACCAACCGCATCATCAAGGCCAACGACCACGCCTCCGTGCAGATCTCCATCGCCAAGGTTGACGAGAACGGCCGCTACACCGGCGAGAACCAGACCTACGCTCTGTGCGGTTTCATCCGCGCCCGTGGTGAGAGCGATGACTCCCTGAACCGCCTCACCCAGCGTGACGGCTACCTCAAGAACGTCTGGACCGCCAGCCGTCAGCGCTAAGCGGACGGTTTGTCACTGGGCGGTGTTTCCAATTTTTATGGGTTTTTTGATGTCGGGTATTTGGTGATGGTAAGCCTTTTTTTTCTCTTTCTCGCGGGGGACAGACACTGCCGCTTCGGGTTTCCAGTAGCCGGAGTCTGCCATTATTTGAACCCTACATCAGAAACCATGCTAATCTGATCCTGTGACAGGATGAGATGTTATGGTCAACATCATGATATATCTTATATCCAAAAAAAGAACTTGAATGAAAGAAAAACTTCAATAAAAATTCACACCCGCCCCTTTATACCCGGCAACACAACCGTCCCTCCTCACTTGTCTGCCTGCCTCTTATCGCCTGTTCCTCTTCTTAGAGCCAGTCACATGTAGAACTTCTCTCAATATCCCCACCTCCCTCTGTACTTTTTATAAAGTTTCTCCCTAAACCGGCATATCAAACCCATTCCTCCCGCCCTTTCGGACCTGGATCGATTGGTTCCCCCCTCCCACGTGGGGAATCCAAACATCCAGCCCCGACTCCCATGCGCGAGGAAAGGGCTGAAGACCTAGTAGAGTAGAATCTACAGTCTCCCCCAACATTGCCGGAGATTACTACCTAAATCCGCCTGCTGAAGAGCCACTGTCGCAGAGTTCGTGCACTGGGGCACAGATACGGGTGGTACATTTCTCGTTCCTATTGTTCTTCTAGTCTTGGTACTTGGTCTTAGTGCTTGTCTGAGCATGCATCTTCATTCAAATCCAGCACATTCCTGCAAAGGCAGACATTGATTCTCTGATTCCCGAGTGGGTGGGTGGGTGAGTGTCCGCCTCACTCGTTATCTTGAATTTGTGGTAGTCTTTTATAGCACCATGTCACGAAAAAAAAAAGACAGCACCATTACTTTCGAACGTCTTTGCATTTCAACATGAGATTAAAAAAAAAAGCTATAAGTTATGATGCTGACCCCCGTTTTTTTAAGATTTCCTATCTCGAGACACGAGATCGGTATCTATATTTGCTGGCTTGCACTCTTTTTCGCTTTTCTAGTCCTTCTCCAATCTGACGGCCGGGTTGCTCTCGATGAAGTTGAGGTCGACCTTGTGGCCTAGCAATTCACGGATGTTGCTGACGCCGTATCTATAGAGCAGAAAAGATGGGGGTTAGAGTTGGTGTTGCCTCAAAGGGGCAGGGCAGACTTACTTGATCATCGTGGGGCGCTCCAGACTCAGACCCCATCCGTACACCCGCATGTCCTTGGGGATGCCCATGGGCTCCAGCATCTCGGGCCGGAACATGCCACTGTTACCGATCTCGACCCACTTGCCCAGGCCGTTGTGGTAGCCGAAGATCTCCATGCTGGGCTCGGTGTAGGGGTTGTAGGCGGGCTTGAAGCGCAGCTGGTGGATGCCCATCTTGGCGAAGAAGACCTCCATGAAGCCGATGAGGCCGCCCAGCGTGAGGCCGTAGTCGGCGATGACACCCTCGATCTGGTGGAACTCGGCCAGGTGGGTGGCGTCGACAGCCTCGTTGCGGAAGACGCGGTCGATGCTGAAGTAGCGCGCGGGCCGCGGGTTGGCCGCCAGCTTGTGCAGCACGTAGGTCGAGACCGAGGTCGTGTGTGTGCGCAGCACCAGGCGCAGCGCCTCGTCGGCGTCCCAGGGGTAGCGGTAGCCGATCGAGCCGTATTTGCCCGTCTCGTGGACCGCGCGCACGTCGTCCCAGTATTGCTTGTAGTCGAGGGGCTTTGTAGGAGATGAAGAAGAGGAGGATGTGGTGGGCTGGAGGGTCTTGATCTGGTGCGGGTCGTTGGCCGGGTCCTCGCGCGGGGGGTCGGCCTTGACGGGGTCGGCGATGTAGAAGGTGTCTTGGAGGTCGCGGGCGGGGTGCTGCTGGGGCACGAAGAGGGCGTCGAAGTTCCAGAAGCCCGTCTCGACGAAGCGGTTGGTCGGCATCTCCTCGAAGCCCATCTCGAAGAAGATGTTGCGGAACTCCTGGCGCACCTTGTTCAGCGGGTGGAAGGTGCCCGCCGGGGTGGGCGCGCCCTTGGCCTTGAAGTTGTACGGCTTCAGCTGCGCCGTCTTCCACGAGCCGTTCATCAGCATCTCCGCCGTCAGGTCGGTCTCCTCCTTGACGAACTCGCGGGCGTACTTGGGGCCCTTGGCGATCTGGAAGGTGATCACCTTCTGCACCGTCGCCAGCTTGCGCCGCTTCAGGTCCGTCAGGGCCTTCGCATCGGGCACCGCCTGCGTCTTCTGCACCGTCAGCAGCAGCTCGCGGGTCTCGTCGACGATCGTCTCGGTCGCCGCCCGCAGCACGTCCTTGTCCTTCTTGATCCACCCCTTCTTGAAAGCATTGCCCTGGCCGACCTTGGCGGTGTCCTTGCCGACCACGCCCGGAAGGTCGCCAATCTTCAATCCATCCAGAGCCGCCAGCACGGCTTGGAAAACCTTGGCCTCGTGACTGCCATTGGTGGCGATCTCCTCACCCTCCGGCGTCAGGACGGCGATTTCCTTCTCGATGGTGTCATACTCGACCATCTGTCGGGAGGCTAGACGGTCGAGCGCAGCCTTGATATTTAGTGAGGGGGTGGAGGGGAAGGCTTCGCTGGAGAGGATGGAGGCGTCGGACGCGGACAGAGCGTCCAGAATGGGTTTCGTCATATCGGTCGCCATGACTGCAAGCCGTGGAGTCCCCAAGAAGGCGGAGTCCGAGGAATGTGGTGGGAAAAGGAGGAGGGGTTGAGTAGAGGAGGAGGAGGGGTCTTGGAGGCACCGATCAGACACTGCCCACTTCACAATTATGACTCTTTTCGGGTACGCTCTTCAATTACGGCGGGCGGTTGTGACCACCGCCGTCGTCCCGTGACCTGCCACCGCTTTAAACCCCGCCATTGCGGATTTGTTCTTCAATTGTTCTAAAGGGCGGATGCCAATTTGCCCAACGGACTCCTCTCTTTACTCGGATGAAGTACGGAGTACAGTACAGATGTATTCATCTGTGCAGGTCCATGGAGGTCCACGGAGGTCCACGGACTAGACAAAAACAAGTCCCATGATCTCGCCCAGGCCGTCAAGAGACCGACCGGCTCGAAATTAAATGCATTGTATCAGCATATGCCTGTGCAACCATGTACATTGACTATCGGTGACAGGTATGAGCAGATTGATCGGAATCATCCATGGTCGATTTGCGCATATACCCTTTCAACTGCAAGGGGCTTGGGCCCCGGGGTCACCCAAAACAAGAGCGAGGTCATGGACAGGAATGAAGGGTAACGTTGTTCTTCGTTATTCTTCTGTTGAGGCTCTCTCCGTGTATTTGGGTCACGATCAAAACCATCCGTGCAAATTAAGTTCAATGGAGAGGCCCTTCAACCTTTGAGGGAGGATTCTGTTATCTACCCCGTGACAGACCCGGGCCAAGCCGTCAAAATCCTCTGTCAACGTTGTACGACATTAAATGCCAGGTCTGGAGTGTATAATATGGTGGGCGGAAGATCCGAATGGACGGACGAGATATATTCTCGACCGAACCAAGGCAGTGATGACCACAAGGTGCGGTGATCCTTGGCCTGGGGAACCTCCCGAGATTGATTGATGGAGTGGGAACGGGAGCAGGGGGATGAGATCCAATGATGCAGAAGCAGTTTCCACAGTCTTACACCATCTTTGGCGATGTGAAGGATTATTCCTTGCTTGTCCCGTGGTGGTGGTGGTGGTGGTGGTGGTGGTGGTGGCTGGCAGCTGGCTGGCAGCTGGCTGGCAGCTGGCTGGATATACCAGACTGCATAGTACCGGTAGTAGACTACGGACTACGGAGTACCTAGAAGCGCAAGCATGGTTTCAACTTTCAACACTGGGCAACGGTAGACGAGGCCCAACACAGTTTAGCCCGTCGTTAGTTCTCCAGGATGTAGACACCCCAGTAATTTATTCTTGACAGGCAGGGTTAGCGTCCACCTCAAAAGCAAGATTTAGGGGGCGGCAGCAGCAACTTTTGCTACTCTCGGCTTCCTTGGTGATAGCTTCCTTAGGAGTTTGACCAGCCAGGCCGGCTTCCAGCCTTCATCACCCACTACTGCTAGTACTGCTAGTCGATGGCTAGTAGTATGTAGTGCTTCTTCACTCCCACCTATTCCGTATCTATCTATCGATATGTCTACTGCTCGAGCAGAGTTACAGAGGTACAAAGAATAGTCAGTTACAGTAAGTTATCAATTGGTGCCTCTATTATCTGGCATTCCTCGATCCTCGCATGATAATCCTGGACAGGTTTAGTTGGATGGGGCTACGAAAAGCTCTTCTCAGTATTGATCTTCATGATTGGCTTATCGGGGGTAATCGATGGGTCTTGCACGCGACCGTTGGGTCTGGAACTGGATCTCCCCGGGGGGGGAGGGATCGTGATAGATGAATGCTATCTGCTGTGTATATCTTCCAGGAAGCTATTGATGAATCTTAAAGCAAGCACTCGGCTGGCTTTTTATTGTGCAAGCTCTCCACCAGTGTTCATACTTTATGTCTAAGTTAACAATGACGATCATGTCGCTGCCCCCATAGAAAAGACTTCGAGAAGAGGGTTAGGAGGATCCCATTCCCATGGTTCCTCCTCCAGCTGCTACTCCACCAGCCATCACCAGCCGTGGCTGATGCCTATAGACAAAGACTTGGGTCATCGCCTAACACGGCTGGCAACCTAATTTGCACCGGCCGATGAACTGAACCTTGGGCGTTGAATTACTGTACTAGAATCACTATCGATTCCAGGACTGAACTTAATCATGTTAAGATTCAACCACCCCCGGGCGAACGGGCGATGTCTCGGGCATGGACCTGTGCGCCTGGGCTGACGGCGCACAATAACGGGCGGGAAGATATGTATCAGAAACAAGAGATGAGAGAGCTACGTATACTCGGATCCAGCCTCTATACACCCACCTTCTCTTGTCGCGAGATGATACAACCAAGCAGGAAATTTTGAAGTATTAAGTCATAGATCAGTTTCTAGACCATCCACGTCCAAGTTGTGCGGTGGCTAAGGCGCCCGAAACATCATCTCATGGGACAGAGGTGTCCTGTTCCTGCGGTGGTTTGCCTGTCCAGACCGGTCTGCCCTGCATCATTCCTGATTTCCTCGACTCCGTTACCCTCTCTCATTTTACCTCACTGTCCATTCTCCTCCCGTCCTGCAGTTTTTTTTTTGTTCTGTTTCCCTCCGGTCACCAACCAGTCAGGTTGTTGCTGTTCGATTGTGATAGGTAGATACAGGCCAGGGCCGTCTTTCTTACGTCTCACCTGCCTTTGGAGCCACGGCAATACGAATGCCACTACGTAGTCGGCTAGACGAATACCTGTTCTTTGCCCCCTCCCTCTGACACTTTTCTGCTTCATCTTA